AACATAATGACTGAAGAGTCATGAGATACAGTTCAGTAGATCATCAATGATTTATAGTATCATGTGAATCACTTCCCGTCTCTATGCTAACAATATAGAGTTCAGTTACATAAATAATTTTCTTATCATTGTTATGGTACTTTTTTATTTCCTTGCTTTATTGTCACTCTTGTGGGACTTGCTTTTTTGTCCCTATTCCTTGTTGTTTAAGAAATGCTTACTAAATGGGATGCTTAAGAGCCTGACAAATAATTTCTAATTTGCCAAAGTCATGTGCCTTTATGCTAGGCTGGTCTAAGTTAAGGGAAAGATGATGTGGGCCAAACCTCACAGAGTGGTGCTTATAAAGCAGGGGGAGGCAGCCTGCTTTCCAACCTAGGCAGCCCTCACCCCTGCTGAACTATCACCAAACGTCGGTGGTGGGGTAGCTGACAAAGAGCGGCTGATTTTTCACTTTAAAAGATGATATCCAGGGAGCACATGCCTAGTTTGAAAGCAAATTTACCCTCCCTTGGAAGTTCCAGGAGCGTGATTCTGTGCTGAAGCAAGGCATAGGCTCCCCTGCACAGCCAGTTTTAAAATGAAAAGGTGCCTTTTGCCCCTGCTGGATTTTGCCAGCATGGGATGTGCCACCCCTGTGGGTTCCAGGATCAGGAATCAGTGCCCAGCCATCTGATGCTGACCAACCTTATCACCAGGTGCTCACTGCTGATGGGCCAGCCCAAAGTTCATCTTCTTATTTCTCATGCTTCTTTATTCTTTAACCTAGATGTGTTTGAATAGCCCTTCCAATAGAGGACACTTTCAGATAGAGCACTCTCCTCTGACAGCACTTCATACAGAGGACTGCCCCTGATAAGGCAGGACGTGCAGCTTCTGTTTTTTCATATGGAGAAGCAAGGATTCCACCCCACTTGTGCCCACTATGGTCTCCGATAGCCTGCAAAGCCATTTGTGTCCTGCTCTCTCTTCACCTGCTTTTCCCCAACCACCACATCCCTTTAACGAGGGGCTCATATTTTGCTCCTGCTGCCAATTCCACTTGCTCCCCAGCTGGTCTCTGGGAACATAATGCCCATTCCTTCCAAATTACCCTCCTGGTCACTGTGCTATGAGCCTGGTTTCCCCACACACCACCCTCCATCTCAACTGCAGGGTGGATCCCTCATGTGCATATATGTTGTGCCATATAAGTAGGTGTGGGTGTGCAACACTTTTTAAAAGCCTCATTGTCCAACCATGATATGGATCAGGTGATGCAGACAATTGCTATCACTGAGCAAACAGCTCTGGCTACTAATTTAAATTAGCTCAGTATGCACTATGGTGAGTCCGAACTTTACTGGCTATCAGTTTTGTTTATATGGAGAGTTCTTCATAAACTGATACTGAGGTGGTGGATGGGGCATAGATACAGATACAGGAAAGATAGGAAATCCTAGGAAGCATGGGAATAGGGTGCAATCATATCTGAAATGTGGAGTATGGATAGACTAACAGGGGACAGGGGACATGAAAATGCTAACAGGTGGATGATAGGAAGACAGAGAAAGTTTGCCTGGCTCAGACTTAACAGCAGTATCCTTATAAGGAAAAGTAGTTTATGTGGTGTATGAAAAACCACCACATCAACTGCAGAAGCACCCACGCCAGTTATGGTTCCAGATCCACTCAGTGCTAGCTGTGTGGCGGTTGCACACATCATGCATTGTTAGCTTTTGGGTGGTGGGGTCAGTGAGGGAGGGGGGTGATTTGGACTATCACCAATAGCATCATTCTGAGCTAGTGCTGTAAAGATTTTATCTGGAACTCAGCTCTCTTTTGTTCATTGGATTTCTAATTCTCTGTCTTTGCACAGGAAGTGAGCTGAGTCAAGAGTCTGTGAACATTCATTGAGGTCTGGTTGTGCAGCCAGCAACCTTCTTCAACAGTGTGTGAGATAGAAACAGAGGCCACAAGTCTCATGCATAGAAAAGGGATGCTGCTTGCATAGTGTTCGTGTGGGGCTTGATTCCTTGCATTGCACCAGTATGTGACACACTTGCCAGTAAGTCAAGCCTACAGCAGTGAGAAAGCAAGCTGGAGTCCAGGGACCTGAGCCCAGGGAGTCTGATGGATTGCCTCCCCCAAAAATGGATCCTCACAAATCCTTATTCTCAGCCTCTTTCCTTGAAGAGAGACATCCCCCTTGCTATGCAGATGTTTTGCACGATCCAAATAGTGACAATGGCATCCATCGTGAGGTCTTCCTCTACATCCCAAAGCATGTAAAGGGAGAATCACTGTACCTTTAAGTACCCTAAGGCAGAGCTGAAGTACTAGCTACATTTTTCTGTTGGGCTCAGTATGGCATCATGACCCATGGCTGAAGCACAGGAGTCTGGTCACTGAGAATGATGGGGTGCATGGGGAGTCCACTTGCCATGGCAGTGGGATTGGCGAAGAATGATCTCATGGCTACTTCTCTGACAGTGGTACATTCCAGAATAAAGTTCTATCATGACTCCTCCCCAAACAGAGTATTTTTCCACTTTTGCCTTTAGAAGCCATAAGTGCCTTCAACACCATGCTATAAAAACATCTGTGCTTGTAGAACTTTCATGTCTCCTATGCAAAGCTAAAATGTGGACATGGAAGGAATCCTGGTCCAACTGACTGGAGAAAACCCCAGCTCATGAAGCCCTTTTGGGTACGTTCCTTTGTTCCTTGCCTTTATGGTGTCAGATTGGTAGTAGTCATTCAGAACATGCACATATTTTTAAAATTAATATTTAATTTCATTAGATTAAAACGAAAGCAAAAAATTGTAAAAGAAAAAGGCAAAAAACACTAGTTTTCTTACATGAACTTTGAATATGTCAATTACAATTGATACATATAAAATATATACCTCTACATATTTTATATAAAGTAAGATATATCATCACCAATAAGCATAGCTATGCAAAGAGTTCAACAAAGAAAGACCACACATTCAAAAGTTGAAAGCTCTGAGAAGTCCTCAGTACATTGTGGTAATTGAGGTGACTGTCTGTGTCTCTGAGGATTTCACATGCCCTAGACAAGGTAGCACTGACCAGGAGGTACCTTACGTTGGAAGCAAGATAGTACAAGCCCTTATTCCTGACATAAATTTCCGTATTACTATGACTGGTTGATGGATTATAGGCCTAAGTTCAGATGCTCTGATTTCAAAAGTGGCTTGAGATGTGGAAAAAGTGTGCAAAATTTGGCACCATCCCAAGCATCTATGTCTAGAATCAATGTCTAAATGTTATCAGTAGATGGAATTTCTCACCAATGAACAACGTATCAGTCTGCTGTAAACTGCTCCACTGCAACTGCTATATTCAAGGTATCAGGGTCATTGTGCAAAGAAGCAAAAATGTGTGGCCACCACAGGCCACTTAATCATCAGCAGACATCTTGGCATAACCCTGTTCCTCCCCCTTTTCTCCACCTATGGTATACAGAAGAAAATGGCTGCAGTGCACAATAGGAATTAGACTGGTATGTTAGCTAAAAAAGTTGGAGATTCTTGTCTCCAAAGGACAAGCACTTTTCAGAAATCTTTGCATAGGTATTTGCAGCCAAGGGACAACAAAAACAAAGCTAAACTTGAGGGCCCCTTCAAGTCTGTTGTACAGACCTGCAGCTGGCTCACATGAGAAAAAAAGAGCTGTGGACAAGTGAAGCAGTGAAATTGCCTTGGAGAAGGGGACCATAATGCTGGAGAAAATGATAGCTGCAGCCATACTGTGCTAAGCAGCATTCAAGAATGGCATTACTGTTATACTCTTTGGCTTCTCTTGCCAAGCAACTTGGTGGCATCTTTCAGCAACCCATGTTCTATGATGAAATTTACTTTGTTCTATCAGTAAGAACAAAGTGCAGAATATTTGTGTATTGATGAGTAGGAAACTAGCTTTCAATGGGATTGACTGATGCATTGATTTAAAGGCAAGCTCATCTCCATCTATACACGCACACACGCATGCACAAACCCTTACAAGTGTGTATATTAAACAAGCAAACAAAGTAGCCCATTTTATACATCCAGGCTGCCCTCCCACGTGTTCAAGGAAAATGCATGTCTTTAGTGATCCATTAACACACTACTCTTTCTGTGATTTCACTGAACATATGGACAGCAGCCCAAATGCATGGACCAAGTTCAGATAAAATAAAAATAATACATACAAATTTCAACAGTTCCCTCTATGCATCTCATTCTTGAATAATAGGCATGCCCATGAAAGTTGATGAGAGGCAGACTGATATTTAGACACTACCTGTGCATCTATCCACACAAGCAAAGCACACTGTACTTTACTTTAAGATGGAGTGTAATTCCACTCAGAACTGTATGGACATCACTTCCATGATCTGGGAAAGAATCAGTTAATAATAGCTTCAACTTGTCTGCGTTGAATTCAGTTTAATAGCTATAATACAACCCTTTGTTTTCCCCAATACATGTTCAGAACTACACCTGGAGTACACAAAAGAAGGAATAAGCTTCAATGATCCCCACAATAACTTCACTTATGGTTGTTTCTTTTGTACGTCACTGACATGAAGGGGTCCAACTAACAGAATGTAGGACATACAGCAACTCAGCCATCCCACAACCTAGACTTTGGACCGCAAAAGATTAGTGACACAGTGTTAAATTTTGAAGTGCAGTTGCTTATAATGACAGTTGCCTCAGTCATGCTTTCAAGGAGAGGATCCAAAAACGCAGCACCTGCATTGATCTATATCAACAAAGCAGCTCTTGCAGTTTTTATCTCTACCAGAAGCAGCTCTTTCATAAAGCAAATAGGTCCGAGTTGCCAATTCAAGACCAAGCTGGCCAATTACACTTTGCCTTAACACGGAGGTATATTGTAACAATATATAATTGCTGGGAAAATCCATTCTAACTCCCAGCTACTGTGAGGTCTAGAACTAGGCTCAGAGGAAATAAGGGAAGCCTAAGGAGGATGACACTTGGCAGCACGGTCCTTCCTAATCAAAACTCCTAGGGCTTTGACCCTGAGAGCCCTGGCTCCACTACACAATTGTTCAAAAGATGCCTGTATGCATGAGCAGCTCTCTTAGGAAGGGCTTCCTCTTCACATATCTTCGCATATCACCATGATTAGAGGTCCCAAGTGAGAATAGCCTGGATATGTGATGGCAAGGACTGGATCAATCGTGTGACTCTTGTGTATACATGAAGGAGGCTTGTTTCTCTTCTACTATGATTCCAAGGATGGTTCTGAGCAGACACCCCAAGTCAAGTGAATGAAGGAAGATGTAGAGTTGGGTGCCATCCACACATTGATCGCATATTCAAATGCCTGGTGAAAACTGCATCTCATTTATCAAAGATGTTCATCCTTCTGAATGGTTCTTGTCAGTCTGAAAGATACACCTCACTTCACTGCAGCAAGGTATAAACCTTTTAAAGAAATATCTTAGTTTACTCATCAGCATCTCCCTGAAGTGATCGCCCATCAAGAAATAAAAGATAGGGTTAATTACACTGTTTAGAAAAGCAATTGGCCTGGTAGGAATGTAAACAATCTTGATAAGTTCCACTGTGGAATGCTTCCAACCTGCCAATCGGGAGGCAATCCTAAGATTGCGCATGATATGATAAGGAGTAAAGAGCACCATAAAGATACCCATTGCCATGATGATCAAGGTGAGAGGTTTCTCAAGTGTTGGGACAGCAGTGAGCTCTGAGTTTCGTCTTTTCAGGTAGGTGTGGATCTTCATGTAAAAAAAGCACATGATGCACAAGGGTATGATGAATCCAATTATTGTTAAAACCATGCTGTAGATAAGAGTGTATTCTGCATCTCCTGAACTTGCAAAATCCAAACATTTGCTGGTGTCATTCTGACGTGAGATGGATATGAGCATGGGCAACACTTCCATTAAAACTGCGATCCAAATGGCCAGTGAAAAGAGAATGGCCATGCTTCTCTTCTGCATAACATTATTTCTGAAGGGGTACTTTATAAGCAGGTATCTGTCGATGCTGATAAAAGTGAGGAAAAGAATACTTGTATATAGGTTGCCATGGAGGAAAAACCTGTTGATAATGCACCAAGTGATATTATAGGGCAAAATATCTTTGGAGTAACTTGACACCAGTTCCGGGAGTGTGCACAAGAATGCAATATCTGACAGTGTTAGGTTGAATAGGTAGATGTTGCCACTTCTCCAGGTTTTGAGGCAAAAGATATAGCCAAAAACAACAATGCTGTTACCAATGATGCCAACTATGAACTCGAAAGCATACATTGTAGAAAGGCAGTACTTTTCAAGGGCTCTAGATATCTCCGCCCATTCTTCAGAGCAATTCATATCCTGGAAATGTAGTAATAATGGCAGATAGATATTTTGTTAGTTTACACAGTTGAAAACAAACGGGATTATTACAATGCCATATTTCGCACTAGCAGTCATGCTGAAATGTTAGCTAAATGCCTGGCAAAGACCTGAACTTTGTGGGAGCCATGTTTTTGCATAGCCCAGATTTCACTGCACAGCACATCACAAAAAACTCTTCTGCCGTTTGAATGAACTTCATTCTGAGGATCCTGCTATTCCATGTGAAGTGTTTGTTAAGATAAGAAAAAAACTTTTTTCAGGGATGTTATAGGGGCAAAACTTTGTTCATGACTAGTATGTGGAGAACCAGTGTTTCTTTCACAATTACTTACTAAAAACAATGACTCACTGTCCCCTGACAATTTTGCTTAATTAAAGAATTTCTATAAATTTGCAATTTTCACAGCAAGCACCTATCAGGTCTGCAGTATAATCCTATGAATTTTTACTTAGAAGTAAGTTCCACAGTTTTCAATAGATCTTATAACCAGGTATATGTGCATACATATTAAATATATTTATGATGTGCTGTAGTGTTTTTCAAGTGGTGGAGTATAATTATTGTAATGTGCATCCTAAGTAGGTTTAAACAGAAAAAACTCTACAGCTCCCAGAATGCCCCAGCTAGCACAACTGAAATTGTAGGACTTTTTCTGTCTAAACTTGTATAGGACTGCACCATAAGTCACTTTTATTCTCCCAAAGGTGATGCCCAAGCTTATAAACAGCAATATAATAGCTGGCCAGGGCAAGATGGGAATTGTAGGTATGTAGGATAATGCCCTTAGTAATTTGCACCCTACTAATCTTTCCTCTCATCTTCCAAGAAAGGGGAGAGCTTGGAAATTTGATTTTCCGAACACCTTCTCACAGCCAGCAACTTGACTGCAGGGGGCAAGGGAATGTCCTGACAAGTGGGGAGGACAGGATATGATAGGATATGTACAGCACTTTGCTATCCGCTCCGAAACACCCTTGCTAGAGAGGCTGAACAGTTTGGGGGTTTTTGAACAGCAAAGGTGCAATTAATAGGACTGTGATGCTTCTGTGCTCAAGATATTACAGACACACTAAAAACAAGGATGCTGAATAGCCATTGAAATGCACTGGCTCATTCAGAATGGCTAATGGTAAATCATTTCAAGAATTTAGGAGCCATCTTCGGATCAAAGACTAGCAAGAAGTAATTAGTTGTCCTCAGGAACAAACTCTAGACCAAATTCTTGGTTATGCAGTAGTATTCGGGAACAAATCCTATAATTGTTTACACAACAGTTTCTAAGGATTGTCTCTAAACTCACAAACATGTTGCACTATATTGGAAGAGGCAGAAAGCTTGCATACTGGTCTTTACACACCATCTGCAAAAGTGTCAGTCACAGAGTAATCTCCCACAAATGAAGTAGAATGTTTGTTTGTTCATTCAGTTTTTATACCACTCAACAGGTCTCTGGGCAGTTTACAGCAATCCATTAAAACACAGTCTAAAATGCACTTAAATATTAAAAAATTAGGAAAAAATGCCATGCATTTTTTAAAACCAAATTTAAAGCACATACAAAATTCCAATAACTTAAGCATGAAAAAACTAGATCGATTATTTTAAACAGCTAGCAAAGCCCCAACTAATTTGATGTGGCACCAAAAAGATAATAAGGTTGGTACCAAATGCCTCTCAATGGGGAGCTCATTCCACAACTGGGGACCCACCACTGAAAAGGCCCTTCTCCTTGTTGCCACAAACCAAGCTCCCTCTGAGATGGCAGTCAGATGCAGACCCCAAATGCTGCTCCTAGTGTCTAGGTAGATGATGGTTAAGAAAGGTGCTGTCAGGTATCATGGTCCTGATCTATGTAGGACTTTTTAGGTTAAGCCAGCACCTTGAATTGCACTCAGAAGCATATAGTCAGCTGGTGCAAGCTGGCAGAACTGGTTAACAGGATCAGAAATTATCCTGTGATTAGCCTGGTTGCTGCCTTTTGCACAAGATACAGCTTCTGAACAGTCTTCAGGGCAGCCTCACATAGAAAGCACTGTGGTCATCTAATTTAGCTCTGAGCTGTTCAAGGGTGCATGGAGGGAACACCCCTAAAACTCCATGGGTGCCTGTGTCATGATTCCTCCAGAAGTGTGGCTTGGCCTCTATGTCTGCAACGTGATACCATTCAGCTGTGCTACTGAATAGTCATAGGATTGCCCTGAAATGATTCAAGGCATCCCACAGAAAAAAAAGAAGGCTCAGAACTGCTCAGGGGTAAATAGAGTGAATGCTTCCAATTCAGCTAAACAATCATGCTCTTGCCTGTGCCAACAGCATTCTCCAGAAGCTGAAAGCACAACATGGAAACATGCCTGGCGCCAAGTTTATACTCTTTTTGGCACCAGGCCAAAACCTTTTTATTTAAACTGTACTTTAAAAAAATTAACAGCTTTTAAGTTCAGTTGCTCTGCTTGTTTTGTGATCTATTGTCTTGTTCTGCTCTATTACTTATTGAAATTGTTGTTTTAATTGTTCTTTTAAATATTGTAAGCCGTCATGAGATCTTGTATAATAGGACGGTATACAAAAGCTTTTAATAAATGAAATAATAAACATGTTATTACAATTAAAAGAGAAACTCCCCTAGTTTCAGCTTGCACAATATTGCTCTCCTATATTTTGCTTTTCATGAACGCATCAACAAAATCCTTCCTTAAAGATCTGTGCACAAGGGAGATTCTCAGAGCAATTCAGAAAAGTAAAATGAATGAGAATTTTGTATATGGTTGTGGATTTGGATTTTAAACACAGTGGAATGTGGATTCTAATCACAACCGTTGTTACTAGCTGCATGTTAGTAACAAGAAATGATCTTTACACATCTTAAATTAAGGGTGGAAAGACTAATTTAAGTTATATTGATTCCAATACATTTATTCTTCAGTGCAATTAAGTCTGGATTCAGCCCTGGAAAGCTGAATAGGACTGCATGCACAAAGCTCTAACAGCTGTACAGAAGAAGGTCTGGAATGGATTGGTACCTCTGCAAACAATGGGTTATGGTCAGACTATCTGCAACCCTATGCAGGTCTACTCATTTCATGAGTCCTATTCCCAGGTAAGTGAGTATACTTTTGCAGCCTAAGGGAGCAATCCAGTCCATGTTTAGCAGAGAAAGACATATGATTCCAAGCATGCTCCAGCCAGATAGGTTAGTCCAGACTAACTTTTCAGATTGGTATCAATGTGACTAAGTGCACCCAACTTACTCTAGAGCCAACCCCATATATATACATTAAGGGGAAAATCTTTGTTGGATCACAAAGTAACAGCAATAGATAAATAAGAAGAAATGGTGGACAAAAACAAATGTACTAAGGGTGCGATTACACAAGCTCCAAGGACAGCAGTCTAGCATCTGCTGGACAGCATCTAGACATGGTTGCTGAATTGCCATCCTCAAGACTGGAAAAGCTCTCCAGTCGTGTACCCAGAGGCTGGACCCCTGATCCCACTATTCCATTTCAGCCAGCATGGAAGGAATTGCACTGGCTGTTCCTGAGAGGTCACAAGAGCAACTTCTAAGAATGGCTTTGGGGGCATTCCTGGGAGTGAGGAAAGGGGAGCTTGGCACCACCAAAATATACTGCATTCCGGAGCATCGCAGTCTCCTTCTCTCCCACTCTTGGCAGCTACACTTATACAGCCAAGATTTGCCTTCTCAGTATTCTGCAGGATGGGAGGACATGACCAACTCAGGATGCCCATCATTCTGAATTTGAATGGTTATCCATGCTCACATAGGGTTGTGTCCTCAGGCATCATCTTAAAATATACACACCACTTCTGAAAAGTGGGTACACACTTTCAGTTTCTTACACTGAATAAACTGAAATAATTAATAGAAGTGTAGGTAAAAAAAAATCTGCACATTTGTTGAAGAAGTTCTCTCCAAGAAATCCCATGCTTGAAAGAAGCATGGAAACATCAGGAAGCTTTTCTTATACTGCCGCACCAGGAGGTTTGGCACTTAGCTGCTGTGCTTGCTGGGGATTCCTGCAGAGTTGTTCATGGGATTATATTTATCTACGTTACTGATTACGGGATCTGATCCCTCCCAACAGACATGTAAGTACCACCAATACATAGCAGATTCCACATGGAAACCAAAGCAGCACCCTGTTTATAGCCATACCATGGAAATGCAGTGCAAAATGCATTTGATACATAGCCTTACCCTGAAACATAAAGTATTTCTGTGTACTACATTTGAGAAGGAAATGGATTCTAAATACAGGTGTGGGTTGGACTCATATACACTTTTTAAATTATGACTATTTGGAAACACTTTTAGCATTAACAATATAGTAAAGCATTTACTAGTTTCTTCATTAATTTTGCTTTGAACCTACATAATTATTAGAGTTTTGAACGCAGGCTACTGTATATGGATGCTGAAAGCAATTTTTCTGTTGATTCATGTTGACAATATTCAGGATAAAAATAATTCAGAGACAAGGATGGCTCTCTTTACTATTTTTTCCTACATTAAATGTACATATATTGTGTGTATAAATACATATACTGCAGATAGATTTTCCTAGCTTAAATCCTACATATAGTTATAGTCATAATTACAAAGTATACAAATTACAAATTCTATATAATAATCTCTGTGCTATGAAGTTCTTTCTAGTTCTCTCACAACTTACCATCCTGTAGAATGGGTGCTGTCTTTCACTAGGCATGCCTTAACCATAATCTAATGGAAGTTTTAATCTCAATAGAATACTGTTCAGCATAGCAAGCTAATTTACATATGATACGGGAAGTGGTTAATGATTTAAGACTAGTGGAAATTTGTTTGCCTAAGATAGGCATGAAGGCAGTTCTACTCAAACCGAAGGTATTGCAAAATTCATTCCGAGTTAACTGCCAAAACAATGGAAACGTTATTCTTTGCAGTGACCTATTGAAATGCAACCAAAAGTAT